AGTGCATACGGTGCAGGGCCTGCAGTTGTTTTAGAATATGCCGACGAAAAAATGGCCTAATGAACCAATACACTTTTTTTTTGACAACTTCTTTTCCACCTTGCCGCTATTGGAGCTTCTATCCAATAAAAATTTGAAATTCACCATTCGTGAAAATCGTATACCAGCTAGTCCTCTGATGGATTCTAAAAAAATGAAGAAAGACCCAAGGGGATGCTACGATTATAAAAAAGTTAATGGCCAAAATATAATTGCTGTAAAATGGCATGACGATAGTATTGTCAATTTATATTCAAATTCATCAGGGGTGAATCCAATTCATTCTGCGAAAAGATTTTCTCGAAAAGAAAAGAAAATTATTCGGGTAACATTTAGTATATTTATACAACGCAGGTTGGCCGGTGTTCTTATATGTCTAGTTGCTGACCATTTGAACCTGTTTGTTCCGCAGAAATACTTTTGTGCAACACTTTATTCACTAATTGCTATATTATCCGGTTCTTCGTCGGTAGACAATTTTCTTCATTTTCTTGACCAGATAATTCCACATCGGAGTCAAGAGACTCAAACATCCGCAAAACTTTATTCGTTCATCCGTTCACTTTAGCGGAAATGAATTTCAATTTTAAGACTTCAGAGGATATCTATAAGGTTTTTAACATATTACCATTCACTTCCTGATAATTTCCAAGAAATGTCAAGCATTTTGAAAGTTTCCAAAAACTGTCAAAGGGCTCCAGAGATTTATTTGAGATGAATCAGAATTAACAAAGTGTTTTAAACCATTTTCAAGAACGTGACGACCATTGCCAATAAATTACCGAACTTTTCCTAAGAAATTGAGAGACTTTTAAGTATTTCCGAGGATTTCTAAGAACTGTCAAAAGAGATTTTAAAATTTAGCGGCAATGAATTTAAATTTTAAGACTTCAGACGATATCTATAAGGTTTTTAACATATTTTCATGCACTTCCTGATAATTTCCAAGAAACGTCAAGGAGTTTGAAAGTTTCCAAAAACTGTCAAAGGGCTCCAGGGACTTATTTGAGATGAATCAGGATTAACAAAGAGTTTCCCATCCCCTTTCTTTCAGTTTCTGGATTCTGGGTTTAGTGCCCAAATAACAGTGTCGCTTTCCCTCCTTCAAATCTTTAAGGGTTAATCTGAGGTATCTGGCAGTATACTCCTGCCCCGATCTCTTTCGGCGTCTATGATCCAGGTAGTGATGCCGTCAAATCTGATGGCATTGATGGCACAATATCAGTGTTTATAGTGTTTTCCGCAGCCCATTGGTAGGACATGTTAGAGCAGTTTTGAGCGTATTGCTCAAATATGTAAATGGTAGTTTAGTTATGTTTTCTATATGCAAATGCAAAGGAGATAGGCTAAGCAGAACATCCGTTGGTTGAGTTGGCGTTGTGCTTATTGCACCAGAGATTGCTAATCCAGCTATTCGTTGAATTCGTGAAATTTTGCTGATAACTGAAGTCTGTCGGGCTTTTCTATACCAGGTTACTGCTCCGTATGTGATTATAGGTCTAAGCACAGTCACATAGAATCAGTACAGTCTTTTAGGGGTAAGACTCAAATTTTTCTACAAAGACTACGACAAGTCCACAAATATTATTTAGCTTTATGTAAAACTCCCTGGTTTTGTGGTTTAAATGGCGACGATGTTGAGCATTTTACCTGGTGCTATCATTTTTAGAATGATTTCTGATAGGTAATAAGTTATTGTTTTTTCGTAGTAATTTTATTATAGGTATAATCAATCAAGTTGAATTATTCATAAAAGATTTTTACATAAATAGAAAAACATACAACGACCTAGCGCCATCTAGTGTTTATGTGCATTTTACATGNCAAAGGGCTCCAGAGATTTATTTGAGATGAATCAGGATTAACAAAGTGTTTTAAACCATTTTCAAGAACGTGACGACCATTGCCAATAAATTACCGAACTTTTCCTAAGAAATTGACAGATTTTTAAGTATTTCCGAGAATTTCCAAGAACTGTCAAAAGGAATTTTAAAATTTAGCGACAATGAATTTCAATTTTTAGACTTCAGACGATGTCTATAAGGTTTTTAACATATTTCCATGCACTTCCTGATAATTTCCAAGAAACGTCAAGGATTTTGAAAGTTTCCAAAAACTCTCAATGGGCTCCAGGGACTTTTTTGAGATGAATCAGAATTAACAGAGAGTTTTAAACCATTTCCAAGAACGTGACGCCCATTTCCAATCAATTTCCGAACTTTTCCTAAGAAATTGAGAGATTTTTAAGTATTTCCGAGGATATCCAACAACTGTTAAAAGGAATTTTAAAATTTAGCGGCAATGAATTTAAATTTTAAGACTTCAGATGATATCTATAAGGTTTTTAACATATTTCCATGCAGTTCCTGATAATTTCCAAGAAACGTCAGGGATTTTGAAAGTTTCCAAATCTGTCAAAGGGCTCCAGGGACTTATTTGAAATGAATCAGGATTAACAGAGAGTTTTAAACTATTTTCAAGTACGTGACGACCATTGCCAATAAATTTCCGAAGTTTTCCTAAGAAATTAAGAGATTTTTAAGTATTTCCGGGTTTTCCAAGAATTGTTAAAAGGGATTTTAAAATTTTGCCCTCAGATTCAGACAATGTTTATAAGGTTTTTAACATATTTCCATGCATTTCCAGGGACTTATTTCAGACGAATCAGGATTAACAAAGAGTTTCCCATCCCCTTTCTTACAGTTTCTGGATTCTGGGTTTAGTGCCTAAATAACAGTGTCGCTTTCCCTCCTTCAAATCTTTAAGGGTTAATCTGAGGTATCTGGCAGTATACTCCTGCCCCGATCTCTTTCGGCGTCTATGATCCAGGTAGTGATGCCGTCAAATCTGATGGCATTGATGGCACAATATCAGTGTTTATAGTGTTTTCCACAGCCCATTGGTAGGACATGTTGGAGCAGTTTTGAGCATATTGCTCAAATCTGCAAATGGTAGTTCTAGCTACTTTTCTATATGCAAATGCAAAGGAAATAGACTAAGCAGAACATCCGTTGCTAGAGTTGGCGTTGTGCTTATTGCACTAAAGATTGCTAATCCAGCTACTCGTTGAATTCGTGAAATTTTACTGATAACTGAAATCTGTCGGGCTTTTCAATACCAGGTTACCGATTCATATGTGATTATAGGTCTAAGCACAGTGACAGAACCAGTACAGTCTTTTAGGGGAAATGTAATAACTAAATATTATTTAGCTTTATGTAAAACTCCCTGGTTTTGTGGTTTAAATGGCGACGATGTTGAGCATTTTACCTGGTGCTATCATTTTTAGAATGATTTCTGATAGGTAATAAGTTATTGTTTTTTCGTAGTAATTTTATTATAGGTATAATCAATCAAGTTGAATTATTCATAAAAGATTTTTACATAAATAGAAAAACATACAACGACCTAGCGCCATCTAGTGTTTATGTGCATTTTACATGGTGTTGTCATTTTTAGAATGATTTCTGATAGGTAATAAGTTATTTTTTTTCGTAGTAATTTTATTATAGGTATAATCAATCAAGTTGAATTATTCATAAAAGATTTTTACATAAATAGAAAAATATACAACAACCTAGCGCCATCTAGTGTTACTTAGCGCTACCTAGCACTGTCACTAGAACCAACACTAGACCTAGAACTAGAAACATTCGGGTTTAGCCGTGCCTCTTTTAAGACGGCTAAACCCGACTGTTTCTAGAGCTAGTGCTAGTTACTGTTTTAGTTCAATAAAAATATCCAACAACTTGGCACTGAATGACAAGTAAAACTAGAACTAACACAAGACCTAGAACTAGAATCATTCGGGTTTAGCCGTCTTAAGAGACGTGCGGCTAAATCCGAATGTTTCTAGTTCTCGGTCTAGTGTTAGTTCTAGTTTTACACTAGCACTATCACTAGAACTAACACAAGACCTAGAACTAGAATCATTCGGGTTTAGCCGTCTTGAAAGACGTGCGGCTAAATCCGAATGTTTCTAGTTCTCGGTCTAGTGTTACTTCTAGTTTTAATTAAATATAAATATACAACAACTTATCACCATCTAGCGTTACGTAGCGCTACCTACCACAGTCACTAGAACTAACACTAGTCCTAGAAATAGAAACATTCGGATTTAGCCTTTCGTCTATTAAGACGGCTAAACCTGAATGTTTCTAGTTCTAGGTCTATTGTTAGTTCTAGTTTTAGTTGTTATTCAGGGCTAAATTGTTGTATTTTATTACATCGAGATTTTACCGCAATTAAATTTTGCTTTACTAGACAACGTGGCACTATTTGATTTTGAAATATATAAACAAAAATGTTTATAAAATGATAAGGATTCGTCATATTCGATGTTTTTAATAGATTTTTGTTATCGTGTGTGGTAATGTTATTACTTATTACCATAATATAGCAATGTTTTAAGTTTTAATTTAAGATTGTTTAATTTAAAAAAAATAACGAGGTGATTGTTTAATTTTTATTTAAACGAATCCATCTTAACCTTACCCAATCATTAAAACTCTTTTTTAAAAAAATTTTGTCAAATTAAATCTTAACTCATAATATTTATAAATTGTGTAATTTGTTATCACTTTTTGCGTATAATTTTTAGTACGCAGATGTGATTTATCGATTAGAAAATAATTTCGATTGCACTCTAATCTGTAAAGAGAAAAATCGTTTCGACTTAAAATTGTTTCCATGCGAAAAAGAGATAAGGTGTTTTTGAGTGAACTGGATTGTTCAACTCGCACTCTGCATTTGTTGACATAACACATCGATAACCCAAGATATATCAGCTCGTTTTGGTGATTTTTGTGAAACCCCCCCAAAAATGTCTTTATGTATAAAAGAACCGCCGTTTTAAGATTTACCAAATTAACTCGTTAAAGTTTTCAAAGAAATCTTATTGAAAAGAAAACTTTTTTTATTAAAAACTTTTTACAAATTCACTTTTTTTTTGTTTTTCTTAGTTTAAATTTCGTTTAAACTTAATCAAAAGTGGCTCAAAATGGTGCGAAAACTTTTTGAATCAACACCGATAAGAAGTTTAATAAGATATTGGAATTTAATAACGAAAATTGAGAAAAACTCGGTTTTCTAACATTGGATTAAGGACGATTTCGTCCATAGATTATCAAGAACAAATTTTCCGTCCTTATTATTAAGATATTAAAAAAAAATGGAATCAAAGAAGTTAAATTATGGAACGATGCAAATTGGAAATCAACAAACAAAGAAGAAAAAAGCAGTTTTTATCGACAACAATAACGTTTATATTCGTGTTGATGCGAAAGGTTTGATCGTTCAAGAAAAACCGATCGGTTTCGATCAAAGAAAATCGGGTTTTTTCGGTGTGCACGTTTTATTTGCGTTGTTTGTGGTGTTTTATGTACTCTACTTAACTTCCGGTAGCATGGTGTTTAGTTTTTTGGAAAGCCCAGCTGAAGCTGCTGTTAAAATCGACGTTTTAAAAGCAAAAAGGAACTTTTACAATCGATATCCTAACGTTTTAGGTAGGTTATTAAAATTTTTATTGATAAATAGATTAATTAAACCTTAAATCTAATTAAAATCAATCTCGGGTAATTCACTAATCACTAATATTTTATCGCTGTTTAATTAACGATAGTGTCGCGGCACGCGTGTTTAAAATTAAATCTAAAATCGATTAATTTCAAATTAAAAATGTACAAATAATAATTTTTTTAAATAAAAATTAATAATTGATTTTATTTTCTTTTTAGATGAGGATTTAGAAAATTTAATCGTAGAAATTGTACGTGCTAGTAACAAAGGAGTTTTGCCGACGAGAAATTGTACAAATCAACCAAACTGGAGTTTCGCTCAATCGTTATTTTTCTCAACAACGGTCGTTACTACAATTGGTAATTAATTTACCAAAAAATATATCGAAAACAAATCGTATTATTTTTTATAATAGGATATGGACATGTAACTCCGTTAAGTAGAAGTGGAAAAATTTTCTGCATAGCTTACGCAACGTGTGGTATTCCTCTAACGTTGGTTTTGATGTCAGCTTTAGTTGAAAGACTTCTAAAACCATCATTATGGCTTCTACAACTTTTAAATTCCAAGTTATCACATCGATATCAACCGTTTAATATTCGAGTTTTACATTTATTTTTTATTGGTAAGTATGAAATAATGTTTATTATAAATTATTTCCTAAATTCTTCTAACCTAATTCATTGATTTTCAACATCGTTAATCCTTTTTGATCTCAAAGACTGTATAGTTTTTATAACAAACATGCATTAAAATGATTACAAACAAACCATATTTAACTAAAGAAATGTTTAATGGGCGACTTCCGGTAATAAATGTGAACTTTAATTTTGTTATATTCCTAATCTTTACAAAAAATTCTTTAAAATGAGTCCAAACTCGACTATTTTATCTCAAAAAATAACAAAGATACAACAAAAAGTTGATAAAATTAAAGTTAACAAAGTGAAGTTGGCTACAAACCATTAAAAATGTTAATATTTCAACAAACATTCAACATTCAACAAACATTCATTAAAATGATCACAAACAAACCATATTTAACCCAAAATACGTTCATGGGGCGACTTCCGGTAATAAATGTCAACTTTAATTTTGCTATATTCTTAATCTTTACGAAAAATCCTTTAAAATGAGTCCAAACTGGACGATTTTATCTTAAAAAATAACAAAGATACAACAAAAAGTTGATAAAATTAAAGTTAACAAAGTGAAGTTGGCTACAAACCATTAAAAATGTTAATATTTCGGTTATTTTTTGAGATAACCCCATCGTATTTGAACTCATTTTAAAGGATTCTTCACAAAGATTAGGAATATCACAAAATTAAGGTTGACATTTAAAACCGGAAGTATCTCGTATTTCGATTATTTTTAAAGTTAAATGTATACTTTTTGTAATATTCAACAAACATTCATTAAAATGATTACAAACAAACCATATTTAAGTAAAGAAATCTTTAATTGGCGACTTCCGGTAATAAATGTCAACTTTAATTTTGTTATATACTTAATCTTTATGAAAAATCCATTAAAATGAGTCCAAACTCGACTATTTTATCTCAAAAAATAATAAAGATACAACAAAAAGTTAATAAAATTAAAGTTAACAAAGTGAAGTTGGCTACAAACCATTAAAAATGTTAATATCTCGGTTATTTTTTGAGATAACCCCATCGTGTTTGAACTTGGTTTAACAGATTTTTCGTAAAGATTATGAATATCACAAAATTAAGGTTGACATTTAAAACCGGAAGTAACCCGTATTTCAATTATTTTTAAAGTTAAATATATACTTTTTGTAATATTCAACAAACATTCATTAAAATAATTACAAACAAACCATATTTAACCCAAAAAACGTTTAAGGGGCGACTTTCGGTAATAAATGCCAACTTTAATTTTGTTATATTCTTAATCTTTACGAAAAATCCTTTAAAATGAGGCCAAACTTCACTACTTTATCTCAAGAAATAACAAAGATACAACAAAAAGTTGATAAAATTAAAGTTAGAAAGTGAAGTTGGCTACAAACCATTAAAAATGTTAATATCTAGGTTGTTTTTTGAGATAATCCCATCGTGTTTGAACTCATTTTAAAGGATTTTTCATAAAGATTATGAATATCACAAAATTAAGGTTGACATTTAAAACCGGAAGTACCCCGTACTTCAATTATTTTTAAAGTTAAATGTATCCTTTTTGTAATAATCAACAAACATTCATTAAAATCATTACAAACAAACCATATTTAACTATAAAAATGTTTAATGGGCGACTTCCGGTAATAAATGTCAACTTTAATTTTGTTTTATTCTTAATCTTTACAAAAAATCCGTTAAAATGAATTCAAATTCGACTGTTTTATCTCAAAAAATAACAAAGTTACAACAACTAGTTGATAAAATTAATGTTAACAAAGTGAAGTTGGCTACAAACCATTAAAAAAGTTAATATCTCGGTTATTTTTTGAGACAACCCCATCGTGTTTGTACTCATTTTAAAGTATTTTTCATAAAGATTATGAATATCACAAAATTAAGGTTGACATTTAAAACCGGAAGTATCCCGTATCTCGTTTATTTTTAAAGTTAAATGTATCCTTTTTGTAATAATCAACAAACATTCATTAAAATTATTACAAACAAATCACATTTAACTAAAAAAATATTTAATAGGCGACTTCCGGTAATAAATGTAAATTTTAATTTTGTTATATTCTTAATCTTTACGAAAAATCCGTCAAAATGAATCCAAACTCGACTATTTTTTTTCAAAAAATAACAAAGTTACAACAACAAGTTGATAAAATTAAAGTTAACAAAGTGAAGTTGGCTACAAACCATTAAAAATGTTAATATCTCGGTTATTTTTTGAGATAACCCTATTGTGTTTCAACTCATTTTAAAGGATTTTTCATAAAGATTTTGAATATCACAAAATTAAGGTTGACATTTAAAACCGGAAGTATCCCGTATTTCGATTATTTTTAAAGTTAAATGTATACCTTTTGTAATATTCAACAAACATTCATTAAAATGATTACAAAAAAAACCATATTTAACTATAAAAATGTTTAAGGGGCGACCTCCTGTAATAAATGTCAACTTTAATTTTATTATATTCTTAATCTTTACGAAAAATCCTTTAAATTGAGTGGAAACTCGACTACTTTATCTCAAAAAATAACAAAGTTACAACAAAAAGGTTATAAAATTAAAGTTAACAATGTGAAGTTGGCTATAAACCATTAAAAGTGTTAATATCTCGGTTATTTTTTGAGATAACCCCACCATGTTTGAACTCATTTTAAAGCATTTTTCATAAAGATTACGAATATCACAAAATTAAGGTTGACATTTAAAACCGGAAGTATCCCGTATTTCAGTTATTTTTAAAGTTAAATGTATACTTTTTGTAATATTCAACAAACATTCATTAAAATGATTACAAACAAACCATATTTAAGTAAAAAATTTTTAATTGGCAACTTCCGGTAATAAATGTCAACTTTAATTTTATTATATTCTTAATCTTTACGAAAAATCCTTTAAATTGAGTGGAAACTCGACTATTTTATCTCAAAAAATAATAATGTTACAACAAAAAGTTGATAAAATTAAAGTTAACAAAGTGAAGTTGGCTACAAACCATTAAAAATGGTAATATCTCGGTTATTTTTCGAGATAACCCCATCGTGTTTCAACTCACTTTAAAGGATTTTTCATAAACATTTTGAATATCACAAAATTAAGGTTGACATTTAAAACCGGAAGTACCCCGTATTTCAATTATTTTTAAAGTTAAATGTATACTTTTTGTAATATTCAACAAACATTCATTAAAATGATTACAAACAAACCATATTTAAGTAAAAAAATTTTTAATTGGCAACTTCCGGTAATAAATGTCAACTTTAATTTTGTTATGTTTTTAATCTTTACGAAAAATCCTTTAAAATGACTCCAAAAAATCTTGAAGTTATAAAAGTTGATAAAATTAAAGTTAACAAGGTGAAGTTGACTACAAACCATTAAAATGTTAATATTTCGGGTATTTTTTGAGATAACCCCATCGTGTTTGAACTCATTTTAAAAGATTTTTCATAAACATTATGAATATCACTAACATTTATACTAGTAAATAAGTTAACATTTTTTAAAGCAACAAATTTTGTTTTAGTTGTTTTAGTCGTCCTTTTCTTCATGATTCTTCCGGCTACAATTTTCGCAATAATCGAACCAGAATGGGACTTTTTGGATTCATTTTATTACTGCTTCATTTCTTTAACAACAATCGGTTTGGGCGATTACATCCCTGGTGATAATCCGGATCAACCTTACAGAGCTTTATACAAAGTTGCAACAACTTGTAAGTAATTCAATAACAAAATTAACTCAAAAATAATGAATTTCTTTTATTGTTTAGGTTTTTTGTTAATTGGTTTAACATTTATGATGTTAACCTTAGCAATATTCTACGATATCCCGCAATTAAATATTGGATTATTATTTAAATCGACTGGAAGTGGTGATCAAAATTCGGAGAAAGCTCGTTTATCAAGTTATGGTTATGGGTTACAATATGGGATGTCCTCGACGAGCGAAACGAAAGAAACTCATATGCATGTTGTTAGGGTGAGATCGCGGCAGAGGGATGATAGCCCTAGCCCTGAAGAGCCTCTAACTAAAACCGAACAGGAACAGTAATTATAAAAATTAAGATTTAAAAATGTACACCAAAAAGTTATAAATTAATTATTATATTTATTTGTGTTAAAAAAACTAAAGTCTAAAAAGAGAGTTGATATAAAAAATTTTTAAGAAAAAGAGTCATTTTTTGCGGCTGTGTGACAAATTTAGGGAAATATTTTACATAATTTTAAGTTTTAAGAAAGCGAAAAAAGAAGGGTCCATTTCTTCCTAATTTATATACAATATTAAAAATTAAATAGAATTCGCGTAGTATTTAGTATATTTAAATGTATTTGTGTGAAAATTAGATTTTAAAAAGACCAAAATTTATTAATAGATGTTTAATGGAAAAATTTACGATATTTTCTTTATCGTAATCAAGAAGTACTACTTGTAATTATCTTTTTAAGATCAAAAAATTCGATTATTTTATTTATTTAAAAAATAAAATCCTAAACTTGTACAAAAATAAATATATTATGAAAAAGACAAAAAAATAAAAAGCTTTAAATGTCTATAAATTAAATACACACTGTCAATTAAAAAACGAACAAATTGTAGATGAAAAGAAAGTATTAAGATTACAGTAAAACCTCGATATAACTAAAATACGGGTTATAGCCAAAAATTTAAAACTAAAGCTAACATTAACACTGTAAAAATCGAAATTTTTATTGATTAATTTTAAAAATTTGTAATAAATCGAATCGTCTGAAAATTTTTATGGAATTTTCAGAGATTATCAATTAAAATATGAGCTACTCAATAAACTGATCCGATTTGAAAAATAACTTTTAGTTTTAGAGACACAACTTTTTAAAATTGACCATAATTTTGGTGATTTCACCTTTTTTTCAATTATTTTTAATTTATTCTGTAAAGCCGATTTCTCGGGATATTGTTATGGAATATCCAGATATTATTAAAATAAAGTGTCTACTTTCCAAAAAAGGTATCCGTTTTACAAAATTTCTTTTAATTCATGACACAGCTTAATAAAGTTAAAGGAAATTTGTATCAATTTGTAAAAACCCAAATTTTTATCGATTAATTTTAAAAATTTGTAATAAATCGAATCGTCGCAAAATTTTTATGGAATTTTCAGAGATTATCAATCAAAGTATGAGCTATTCAATAAACAGATGCGATTTGAAAAATAACTTTTAGTTTTAGAGATACAACTTTGTAAAGTTGACCATAATTTTGTTGCTTTCACCTTTTTTTCAATTATTTTTTATTTGTTCTGGAAACCCGATTTCTCAGGATATTGTTATGGAATATCCAGATATTATTAAAATAAAGTGTCTACTTTCCAAAAAAAGTGTCCGTTTTACAAAATCTCTTTTAATTCATATGATACAGCTTAATAAAGTTAAATGAACAATTTCCAAAAATCCAAATTTTTATTGATTAATTTTAAAAAGTTGTAATAAATCGAATCGTCGGAAAATTTTTATGGAATTTTCAGAGATTATCAATTAAAGTATGAGCTATTCAATAAACAGATCCGATTTGAAAAATAACTTTTAGTTTCAGAGGTACAACTTTTTAAAGTTGACCATAATTTGGGTGATTTCACCTTTTTTTATATTATTTTTTATTTATTCTGGAAACCCGATTTCTCGGGATATTGTTATGGAATATCCAGATATTAAAATAAAGTGTCTACTTTCCAAAAAAAGTGTCCGTTTTAGAAAATCACTTTTAATTCATATGATACAGCTTAATAAAGTAAACGACATTTTTTACAATTTGTAAAAATCTAAATTTTTGTTGATTAATTTAAAAAAATTATAACAAATCGAATCGACGGTATATTTTTATGCAGTTTTCAGAGATTATTAATTAAAGTATGAGCCATTCAATAAACAGATCCGATTTATAAAATAACTTTTAGTTTTAGAGATACTACTTTTTAAAGTTGACCATAATTTTGTTGATTTCACCTTTTTTTCAATTATTTTTTATTTATTCTGGAAACCCGATTTCTCGGGATATTGTTATGGAATATCCAGATATTATTAAAATAAAGTGTCTACTTTCCAAAAAAAGTGTCCGTTTTACAAAATCTCTTTTAATTGTTATGATACAGCTTAATAAAGTTAAATNTTTTATTAATTTTAAAAATTTGTAATAAATCGAATCGTCTGAAAATTTTTATGGAATTTTCAGAGATTATCAATTAAAGTATTCAATAAACAGATCCGATTTGAAAAATAACTTTTAGCTTTAGAGACACAACTTTCTAAAGTTAACAATAATTTTGTTGACTTCGCCTTTTTTCCAATTATTTTTTATTTATTCTGGAAACACGATTTGTCGGGATATTGTTATGGAATATCCAGATATTATTAAAATAAAGTGTCTACTTTCCAAAAAAAGTGTCCGTTTTACAAAATCTCTTTTAATTCAGATGATACAGCTTAATAAAACTAAACGAAATTTTTTACAATTTCTAAATATCTAAATTTTATTGATTAATTTTAAAAATTCGTAATAAATCCAATCGTCGGAAGATTTTTATGGAATTTTCAGAGATTATCAATTAAAGTATGAGCTATTCAATAAACAGATCCGATTTAAAAAATAACTTTTACTTTTAGAGATGCAACTTTTTAAAGTTGACCATAATTTTGTTGATTTCACCTTTTTTTCAATTATTTTTTATTTATTCTGAAAACCTGATTTCTCGGGATATTGTTATGGAATATACAGATATTATTAAAATAAAGTGTCTACTTTCCAAAAAAAGTGTCCGTTTTACAAAATCTCTTTTAATTCATATGATACAGCTTAATAAACTTAAACGAAATTTTTAACAATTTGTAAAAATCTAAATTTTATTGATTAATTTTAAAAGTGTATAATAAATCGAATCGTCGGAAAATTTTTATGCAATTTTCAGAGATTATCAATTAAAGTATGAGCTATTCAATAAACAGATCCGATTTGAAAAATAACTTTTACTTTTAGAGATGCAACTTTTTAAAATTGACCTTAATTTTGGTGATTTTACCTTTTTTTATATTATTTTTTATTTATTCTGGAAACCCGATTTTTCGGGATATTGTTATGGAATATCCAGATATTAAAATAAAGTGTCTACTTTCCAAAAAAAGTGTCCGTTTTAGAAAATCACCTTTAATTCATATGATACAGCTTAATAAAGTTAAACGAAATTTTTTACAATTTGTAAAAATCAAAATTTTTGTTGATTAATTTAAGAAGTTTATAACAAATCGAGTCGACGGTATATTTTTATGCAATTTTCAGAGATTATCAATTAAAGTATGAGCTATTCAATAAACAGATCCGATTTAAAAAATAACGTTTAGTTTTAGAGGTACAACTTTTTAAAGGTGACCTTAATTTGGGTGATTTCACCTTTTTCTATATTATTTTTTATTTATTCTGGAAACCCGATTTCTCGGGATATTGTTATGGAATATCCAGATATTATTAAAATAAAGTGTCTACTTTCCAAAAAAAGTGTCCGTTTTACAAAATCTCTTTTAATTGTTATGATACAGCTTAATAAAGTTAAACGAAATTTTTAACAATTTCTAAAAATCTAAATTTTATTAATTAGTTTTAAAAGTGTATAATAGATCGAATCGACTGAAAATTTGTATGGAATTTTCAGAGATTATCAATTAAAGTATGAGCTATTCAATAAGCAAATCCGATTTGAAAAATAACTTTTAGTTTTAGAGACACAACTTTTTAAAGTTGACCATAATTTTGTTGATTTCACCTTTTTCTCAATTATTTTTTATTAATTCTGGAAACCCGATTTCTCGGGATATTGTTATGGAAATCTCTTTTAATTCATATGATACAGCTTAATAAAGTTAAGCGAAATTTTTAACAAATTTGTAAAATTCTAAATTTTTATTGATTAATTTTAAAAATTTATAACAAATCAAATCGTCTGTATATCTTTATGGAATTTTCAGAGATTATCAATTAAAGCATGAGCTATTCAATAAACCGATCCGACTTGAAAAATATCTTTTAGTTTTAGAGATATAACTTTTTAAAGTTGACCATAATTTTGTTGATTTCACCTTTCGTTCAATTATTTTTTATTTATTCTGAAAACCCAATTTCTCGGGATATTGTTATGAAATATCCAAATATTATTCAAATAAAGTGTCTACTTTCCAAAAAAAGTGTCCGTTTTACAAAATCTTTTTTAATTCATATGATACAGCTTAATTAAACGAAATTTTTAACAATTTGTAAACATCCAAATTTTATTGATTAATTTTAAAAGTGTACAATAAATGGAATCGTCAGAAAATTTTTATGGAATTTTCAGAGATTATCAACTAAAGTATGAGCTATTCAATAAACCGATCCGACTTGAAAAATAACTTTTAGTTTTAGAGATACAACTTTTTAAAGTTGACCATAATTTTGTTGATTTCACCTTTCGTTCAATTATTTTTTATTTATTCTGAAAACCCAATTTCTCGGGATATTGTTATGAAATATCCAAATATTATTCAAATAAAGTGTCTACTTTCCAAAAAAAGTGTCCGTTTTACAAAATCTTTTTTAATTCATATGATACAGCTTAATTAAACGAAATTTTTAACAATTTGTAAACATCCAAATTTTATTGATTAATTTTAAAAGTGTACAATAAATGGAATCGTCAGAAAATTTTTATGGAATTTTCAGAGATTATCAACTAAAGTATGAGCTATTCAATAAACCGATCCGACTTGAAAAATAACTTTTAGTTTTAGAGATACAACTTTTTAAAGTTGACCATAATTTTGTTGATTTCACCTTTCGTTCAATTATTTTTTATTTATTCTGAAAACCCAATTTCTCGGGATATTGTTATGAAATATCCAAATATTATTCAAATAAAGTGTCTACTTTCCAAAAAAAGTGTCCGTTTTACAAAATCTTTTTTAATTCATATGATACAGCTTAATTAAACGAAATTTTTAACAATTTGTAAACATCCAAATTTTATTGATTAATTTTAAAAGTGTACAATAAATGGAATCGTCAGAAAATTTTTATGGAATTTTCAGAGATTATCAACTAAAGTATGAGCTATTCAATAAACCGATCCGACTTGAAAAATAACTTTTAGTTTTAGAGATACAACTTTTTAAAGTTGACCATAATTTTGTTGATTTCACCTTTCGTTCAATTATTTTTTATTTATTCTGAAAACCCAATTTCTCGGGATATTGTTATGAAATATCCAAATATTATTCAAATAAAGTGTCTACTTTCCAAAAAAAGTGTCCGTTTTACAAAATCTTTTTTAATTCATATGATACAGCTTAATTAAACGAAATTTTTAACAATTTGTAAACATCCAAATTTTATTGATTAATTTTAAAAGTGTACAATAAATGGAATCGTCAGAAAATTTTTATGGAATTTTCAGAGATTATCAATCAAAGTATGAGCTATTCAATAAACAGATGCGATTTGAAAAATAACTTTTAGTTTTAGAGATACAACTTTGTAAAGTTGACCATAATTTTGTTGCTTTCACCTTTTTTTCAATTATTTTTTATTTGTTCTGGAAACCCGATTTCTCAGGATATTGTTATGGAATATCCAGATATTATTAAAATAAAGTGTCTACTTTCCAAAAAAAGTGTCCGTTTTACAATATCTCTTTTAATTCATATGATACAGCTTAATAAAGTAAACGACATTTTTTACAATTTGTAAAAATCTAAATTTTTGTTGATTAATTTAAAAAAATTATAACAAATCGAATCGACGGTATATTTTTATGCAGTTTTCAGAGATTATTAATTAAAGTATGAGCCATTCAATAAACAGATCCGATTTATAAAATAACTTTTAGTTTTAGAGATACTACTTTTTAAAGTTGACCATAATTTTGTTGATTTCACCTTTTTTTATATTATTTTTTATTTATTCTGGAAACCCGATTTCTCGGGATATTGTTATGGAATATCCAGATATTATTAAAATAAAGTGTCTACTTTCCAAAAAAAGGGTCCGTTTTAGAAAATCACTTTTAATTCATATGATACAGCTTAATAAAGTTAAACAAAATTTTTAAAAATTTGTAAAAATCTAAATTTTTATTGACTAATTTTAAAAAGTTGTAATAAATCGAATCGTCGGAAAATTTTTATGGAATTTTCAGAGATTATCAATTAAAGTATGAGCTACTCAATAAACAGATCCGATTTGAAAAATAACTTTTAGTTTTAGAGACACAACTTTTTAAAATTGACCATAATTTTGTTGATTTCACTTTTTTTTCAATTATTTTTTATTTATTCTGGAAACCCAATTTCTCGGGATATTGTTATGGAATATCCAAATATTATTAAAATAAAGTGTCCACTTTCCAAAATACGTGTCCGTTTTACAAAATCTCTTTTAATTCATATGATACAGCTTAATAAAGTTAAATGAATTTTTTAACAATTTGTAAAAATTCAAATTTTTATTGATTAATTTTAAAAATTCCTAATAAATCGTATCGTCGGAAAATATTTATGGAATTTTCTGAGATTATCGATTAAAGTTATTCAATACACAGATCCGATTTAAAATATAACTTTTAGTTTTAGAGACACAACTTTTTAAAATTGACCATAATTTTGGTGATTTCACCTTTTTTTCCAATTATTTTTTATTTATTCTGGAAACCCGATTTCTTCGAATATTGTTATGGACTATCCAGATATTATTAAAATAAAGTGTCTACTTTCCAAAAAAAACGTCCGTTTTACAAAATCTCTTTTAATTCATATGATACAGTTTAATAAAGTTAAACGAAATTTTTAATAATTTGTAAAAATCTAAATTTTTGTTGATTAATTTTAAAAATTTATAACAAATTAAATCGTCCGAAAATTTTTATGGAATTTGCAGAGATTATCAATTAAAGTATGAGTTATTCAATACACAGATCCGATTTGACAAATAACTTTTGGTTTTAGAGATACAACTTTTTAAAGTTGACCATAATTTTGTCGATTTCACCTTTTTTTCAATTATTCTTATTTATTCTGGAAACCCGATTTCTCGGGATATTGTTATGGAATATCCGGATGTTATTAAAATAAAGTGTTTACTTTGCAAAAAACGTGTCCGTTTTACAAAATCTCTTTTAATTCATATGATACAGCTTAATAAAGTTAAACGAAATTTTTATCAATTTGTAAAAACCCAAATTTTTATTGATTAATTTTAAAAATTTTTAATAAATCGAAACCTCACAAAATTTTTATGGAATTTTCAGAGATTATCAATTAAAGTATGAGCTATTCAATAAACAGATCCGATTTGAAAAATAACTTTTAGTTTTAGAGACACAACTTTTTAAAGTTGACCATAATTTTGTTGCTTTCACCTTTTTTTCAATTATTTCTTATTTGTTCTGGAAACACGATTTTTCGGGATATTGTTATGGAATATCCAGATATTATGAACATAAAGTGTCTACTTTCCAAAAAAAGTATCCGTTTTACAAAATCTCTTTTAATTCATACGATACAGCTTACTAAAGTTAAAGGAAATTTTTAACAATTTGTAAAAATCTAATTTTTTATTGATTAATTTTAAAAAATCGTTGGAAAATTTTTATGGAATTTTCAGAGATTATCAATTAAAGTATGAGCTATTTAATAAAAAAATCCGTTTCGGAAATACTTTTTTCCGTCGACCGTGTATTTATATGATTTATAAATGTATACAAAATCATTCATTAATGACACCTATTAATAAACGATTTTCTATTAATAAACGATTTTAAGAAAGTCCGACCGAACTAAATAGTAGTCAATTTAATAAATATTCTCCAATGAAATTTGTAATACCGACCCAACCGACCGCTATATCTATTCGGTAAGACTACAAAAATAAATTATGACACATTAAAAGTGAGGTTATTTTGTCAATGACAGAATTGGGAGATTTTTCAACGATGGATTTTCTCTATTTTGTTGAAAAGACGGTCAACGGAAAAATATTGTAACTAACTCGTATATTAAAATGCGATTAATTATCTCAATAATTAACGCTAAAATATCTCGTTAATTAATCGCCTTCATTAATAGACTTGTTGGTTAAATAACTATTTCAGCTAACTTAAACCCGAAACTTTCTAGTTTTACGTTTAATGTTAGTTCTAGTTTTAGTTCTATTTTTCGTTCAATAAAAATATACAATAATTTAGCACTGGGGTTTATTAGAAATCCGTTATATCGAGATTTTACTATATTTATCACTATTTTTATTACATATAAAGATCAATTTTAAATACTGGATAGAAAGCAACTTTTTAGTTGTTTATAAACAAATTTGATTCACAAAAATGCAATTTTATGCACAAATATGTAATCCTCATATTTAAAGAGAATGTGGAATTAAGAATAAAAAAGAACAATCACCAATTTTTTGGGTTTTATTAATAAATTTTGTTAAATCTAATCTTAACCACTCATTTCTTATCAAATTCGACACCGTTAAACAAAATTATTCAGTTCATATTTTTCCACGATGAAATCAACACTTTTCTTCCTTTTTATTTACCACCTGATTATTAATTCAATTTGTGACGTTCCAACTTGTGATTCTCAACCTTTTTGCAAAGAAATACGAGATGGCACTCAAAAATCCAGCTTTACAGTTAACGAATACACCTTAATAGACGGCGTTTTAGTCCTAAACACCACAAATAATCTCGGATTTTTTTTCGAAATGAAGATATTTATGTTGGAGGGAGGGATGATCCGGGTTAAATTAGAAGACCCGAGTAACCCAAGATACGATTTAAAAACCGTGTTAAATCAAGAACCAAATCTCCGGATGGGAAAAATCGACTTTGAAAGTCGCGATTATTTAATTTTTTCCGGAGTAGGTGGTGAAGAAGAAATACACGTTTATTTTAACCCATTAGAACTCGAAGTCTATAAATTAATAAAAAACACCTATGAGATGATCTTAAAAATTAACGATAATCAAATGTTAAATTTCAATGTTGAAGATTCAAATAAAGCAGTTTCTTTGGATTTTAATTTTATACACGCTCAAGTTGCTTATGGAATTCCTCAACATGCAGAACAACTTTCGTTACAAAACACTATTAATGGTGAAGATAAAAACCCTTATCGATTATTTAACAATGATTTTTGTTGTTATCCCATTGGCACTAAAGAAGCTTTATACGGTTCTATTCCAGTTCTTTACGCCCACGGAACTCAATTAACTACCGGAGTTTTTTGGTTAAACTCAGCTCAAACTTTCGTTGATATAAACACAAATAATAATTTAAAATCGCTGTTTATTAGCCAAACTGGATCGTTAGATTTCTTCGTTTTAACCGGACCTAATTTAAAAGAAACGATTCTTCAGTACACATCATTAACCGGATCAGCCCCACTTCTCCCATTATTTTCATTAGGACATCATCAATCAAGATGGAGTTATATGAGTCAAGAGGATGCTTTGGGTGTTGTGGAGGAGATGGATAGAAACGATTTTCCGTTTGATGTGATTTGGTTGGATATTGATTATTTACAAGATTATAAGATTTTTACTTGGAATTTAGAAACGTTTCCTAATCCTATTGGGATGCAGGAGGAAATTGGGAGAAGCGGAAGAAAATTAGTGCTAATTATTGATCCGCACGTAAAAAGAGAAGAAGGTTATTTCGTTTTTGATGTGGCCACTGAAAATGGGTATTTTGTAATGGATAAAAACGGTGATGATTTTCAAGGTGAATTTAATTTTTTTTTGAAAAATATCTATGTTATTGTTTTTGTTAGTGGTGGAACGGATATCCGGTAACTATCCGGTATCCGGGCTATCCGGCAGCATACCGGATAGTAACCAAATATCCGGCTTTGGCCGGATATTAAAAACCTATTACTTAGTACTCCACCATTCTCAGGAATTAGCATCTCTTTTAGGTGTTAGACAGTGCTGATAACAATCAAGTTCAACCCCAATGGACTTTTTTCATTGAATACAACTTTATTTATCATTGGCAACCTCATTGTAACAATCCCAATACTATATATAAAATCTTTTGTTGCAGTTTCGTCTAGTGTTCTTCTCTTCGCTTCTAATTCATTATTACATTCATTAATAACAGAACTGTCGATGTTATCACTTTCCATTATTAATTAAAGTATCCTCTTTTTAATGCTTTGAATGAAAAATCGCTTTTAGTTTTTGAGGAATAAATATTTGAAATGATCGACATTTTTTTCGAATTTTGCAATTTAGGCCGATTAAGTTTTAAAAATTCGTATAAAATTCAGTTCTTGGAATATGAGTTTGAAAATTTCCCAAAGTGTTAATAAAAGTGTCCTCTTTCTAATGAACCAACCTGTTTTGAAAAATAACTTTTAGCTTTTGAGAAAACAGTGTTTGAAGTTTTGTAAAAATTTTCGATGTTACAATTTTGATCAATAATTTTCAAAATTCGCTATAAAATTAATTTCTTGAAGGATTCTTGTGGAAATATCACCAATTATTAATGAAAGTATCCTCTTTTTAAAGCAAAAAGCCGTTTTGTAAAATCACTTTTCGTTCTTGAGAAATCAATTTTTGAAATAATCGACAATTTTTTCGAATTTTTAATTTTCGCCGATTATGTTTTAAAAATTCGTATAAAATCCATTTCTTGAAATATGAGTATCAAAATTTCCTAAAGTGTTAATAAAAGTACCCTCTTTCCAATGAACCAACCCGTTTTGAAAAATAACTTTTAGTTTTTGAGAAAACAATATTTGAAGTTTTGATAAAATTTCGATGATGCAACTTTTATCGATAACTTTCAAAATTCGCTATAAAATTAATTTCTTGAAGGATCCTTGTGGAAATATCACCAATTATTAATTAAAGTATCCTCTTTTTAATGCAACAAGCCGTTTTGAAAAATCGCTTTTAGTTTTTGAGAAATAAATTTTTGAAATAATCGACAATTTTTTCGAATTTTGCAATTTTCGCCAATTAAATTTTAATAATTCGTATAAAATCCAGTTCTTGGAATATGAATATAAAAATTTCTCAAAGTGTTAATAAAAGTGTCCTCTTTCCAATGAACCAACCTGTTTTGAAAAATGGCTTTTAGTTTTTGAGAAAACAATATTTGAAGTTTTGATAAAATGTTCGATGTTGCTATTTTCATCCATAACTTTCAAAATTTGCTATAAAATTAATTTCTTGAAGGATCCTTGTGGAAATATCACCAATTATTAATTAAAGTATCCTCTTTTTAATACAACAATTCGTTTTGAAAAATCGCTTTTAGTATTTGAGAAATAAATTTTTGAATGATCGACAATTTTTTCAAATTTTGCAATTTTCGCCGATTAAGTTTTAAAAATTCGTATAAAATCCAGTTCTTGGAATATGAGTATGAAAATTTCCCAAAGTGTTCATAAAAGTGTCCACTTTCCAATGAACCACCTCGTTTTGAAAAATAGCTTTTAGTTTTTGAGAAAACAATATTTGAAGTTTTGATAAATTTTTGATGTTGCAATTTTTATCGATAACTTTCAAAATTCGCTATAAAATTAATTTCTTGCAGGATCCTTCTGGAAATATCAGCAATTATTAACTAAATTTTCCTCTTTTTAATGTAACAAGCCGTTTTGGAAAATCGCTTTTAGTTTTTGAGAAATAAATTTTTGAAATGATCGACAATTTTTTCGAATTTTGCAATTTTCGGCGATTAAGTTTTAAAAATTCGTATAAAATCCAGTTCTTGGAATATTAGTTTGAAAATTTTCCACAGTGTTAATAAAAGTGTCCTCTTTCCAATGAACCAACCCGTTTTGAAAAATAGCTTTTAGTTTTTGAGAAAACAATATTTGAAGTTTTGATAAAAAACAAAATTCGCTATAAAATTAATTTCTTCAAGGATTCTTGTGGAAATATCACCAATTATTAATTATAGTGTCTTCTTTTTAGAGTTGCTTCGTTAGTTAATTCAGTTTCAAAGAAATTCATTTTTTATCTTGGATTCAAATAAGTTGACATATCTTATAACCTTTTTGTTAGTTTTATTTTCATCACTCATCTTTGTATTTGTAGGTGCTTGTTGGCCAGGAAAAAGTTCTTGGTTTGATTTCCTCAACCCTTCAGCAGCTCTTTATTATTCATCTTTATTCACAACATTCGCCAACACCACCGATATCGTCCACATTTGGAACGATATGAACGAGCCTTCAGTATTTGCCTTAAGCACCAACACCATGCCTGATGATAATATCCATTATGGCGGAGTTTTACACGAAGAAGTTCACAACATTTATGGTTTCTCTCAAACTGTCAATACCCATCATGGTCTCCTGGAGCGTTACAACCACAAGAAACGACCGTTTGTTTTAACCCGATCCCATTTTGCGGGAAACCAACGTTTTGCAGCCGTTTGGACTGGAGATAACATAGCAAGTTGGGAACATTTAAAAATAAGCATCCCTATGTGTTTAACTTTAGCAATTTCTGGTGTTAGTAATTGTGGTGCTGATGTTGGGGGATTCGTTGGGGATGTTACTGAAGAACTTTTGCAACGTTGGTACCAAACCGGTGCTTGGTTACCGTTTTTTAGAGCTCATTCAAGTATGTATGTTGAAAGACGTGAACCGTATTTGTTTAATGAGGATGTCCAGAAAAGGATAAGGAACGCAATTCGAGAAAGATATTATCACTTACCTTTATGGTATACTTTGTTTTTCGAGCATGAAAAGTTTTTGGAGCCGGTTATAAGACCTTTATCTTACCATTATAGTGATGATGTCAATACTTTAGAGATGGATGATCAATTTTTGGTTGGTAGAGATGTTTTGGTCCATCCTGTTACAGATGAGGATGTTGGTGATGTAAAGATTTATTTACCTGGTGGTGTTAATGAGTTTTGGTACGATATTGTTAATGAATATCTTTATTATGGAGTTGGTTATGAAACTGTAAAAGTTGACTTAGATTCTTTACCAGTTTTTTACCGCGGTGGAAGCATTTTAGCGCGTTTAGAAGAGCACCGCGCTTCCTCTCAATTCATGCACGATGATTCTTATACAGTTTATGTATTTTTGGACAAAAATAATTACGCTGAAGGTAATTTGTATTTTGATGATTATGAATCGTTTGATTATTTAGAGAATAAATTTAAATATTTCAAATTGATGTATAATAATATCGGGGGATTGATTATAAACGATGTGGATGATGAAGGGGAGTTTGATAGATTATTTAAAATTGCCAAATTAATAGTTTATCGTCATCCAGCATCGGTGACAAAGAATTATAGCGAAGTTAATGTAAATGGGGCGACTTATAAAGTGGACCATGTTAATGATTATCGTTTTGAGGTAAATAATTTAAATGTTACCATTGGGGATGATTTTCAAATGAGATTTTATTAACTTGTTATGATGCATTTTTAATATTAATGATGGAATGCAATATAAAGTAATAAAAGAATTGGAAATAACTCAAAATGTTTTAATTTTAACTTGAAAATGTTTTCTTGAAAACTTTCATCACATTTCATCAATCAATTCTTGTTAATTTAAGTATTTTTTGTATTAATTTTAATTTCAAAAATTTTGGAATTTTTCTATTTATTCTCGTTTATTAATCTCATAAATTCCATAATTTTCCTAAAACTTTATTTCCATTAATAATTATGGTTTAAATTTTTAAAAATCATGAATTATTATGTTTAAAACCTTTTGATTTTCCTTTTATATCTCATTTTTGCTCAACCCTATACAATTTCAACCAATTAGAGATCTCGATTCAAATACAAATTAAAAATGATCAAAGTAGGCGAGATAGCTCATATAAATAGTAGTGTTTTTAGTGGAAACAATTGATTATTACTCCAGTATTCGTCCATTACAGTTACATGATTTCCAATTTAACAAAAATCCTCTCAGAAAGTCTATTCCAAAATATAAACTGAATTAGATGAAGCAAACAACGAAACAACCCGAATCTGAATTAATTCAACATCATCAATACTTCAATTAATGATATTCGAATTTTAGAGAAGAACTTAACCTAAAAAAAACAAACAAGGTAAGTTTTAAACTTTAATTATTATTAAAAAAACTATTCCGTTGTTATTACTTATTTATTTAATTATTAAGTTTAAGTGAAATAAACAGATTTCAATAAATAAGATTACATTAAAATAATTTATTTCCTTGAAACCAAAACCATTTAAAGTGAGGTTAAGACACCAACCTGTACTATATGTACATTTTCTCTAATGTTCAAATGGACTAAATCATGTTTATGGCCCAATGAAAATAAATAAATAGTTCTTTTTATTGTTGTTAACTGTAAATAAAAATACATTTTTAGTTTATTAACTGAACCTCCTTTTAACCTTGAATAATATGTATTTATTCTTTATTGATTAATTAGTTATTTATTGCGGACCCAACATGGTGGATGCGCCTACTTTCTATACAGAATGGATCATTTAACGTGAGACAAGCGATTATCTCGAAAGCGGTTCATTTTACATAAAAATGAACCAAATGAAAGCATTTTTGACCTTGACCTTATTTTCAAGGTTATATGAAGGTCACAACCAATTTTTTAAATGGCACCCTATATATTTTATTGTAAAATCTGAATCTGTGGATAAAAGTAAAGTAATTGAAGNTACGGCTTCCAGGAATTTTTAAATTATCATCTGTTTTGACACTTTTAGGTTATACGAAAATGTAAGTTTTGTTTCAACATTTTTTTCTCAATATTTTTCTTATCCAACCCAACAATTATTATACATCATTTTAAAGAGAAAGCTTTGAGCTTTAATTTAGAATAAGTCTCATTCCTTAATTTTGATAAATACGGCTTCCAGGAATTTTTAAATTATCATCTTTTTTGACACTCTTAGGTTATATGAAAATGTAAGTTTTTGCTCAATATGTTTTTTTTCAATATTCTATCAGATTTTCGTCGTTCTATAGTTACAGGTCTGATAAATAAATATTCAAATTTACTGCGTCCACGAAAATGTCGTAGCGCAAGTTCAAAAGAAAGGGGAAGTTGTAAAAACTGTTCTGCCAAAGCTAGACCCCACTCAAAATGTACTGCGTGCAGTGTTTATTTATGTTGTAATGAAAGAAAGATCTTTTTTCTGAATGTCATAATGTGATTTAGCTAAAGCAAGTATTACTTATTTTCTAACGTAATAAAAAATGTATTATTTTTATATTGGTAATAAAAGTTTTTGTTTACTGCAACATCACTAAAATATATTTTAATGCCTGATGGTATTCTCAAGTACAAGGAATAGGGGGGATTGCATATTTTGCTAAAATTGATTCCAAAGGCCTTTCCTGAGTGTATTTTGACAGTGTTTTAATTCTGTTACAAAGTTTCAAAATTTTTGACTTCTTGGGACACAAAGGGTTAAAGTGAGGTTAAGACACCAACCTGTACTATATGTACATTTGCTCTAATGTTCAAATGGACTAAATCATGTTTATAGCTCAATGAAAATAAATAAATAGTTCTTTTTATTGTTGTTAACTGGAAATAAAAATACATTTTTAGTTTATTAACTGAACCTCCTTTTAACCTTGAATAATATGTATGTATTCTTTATTGATTAATTAGTTATTTATTGCGGACCCAACATGGTGGATGCGCCTACTTTCTATACAGAATGGATCATTTAACGTGAGACAAGCGATTATCTCGAAAGCGGTTCATTTTACATAAAAATGAACCAAATGAAAGCATTTTTGACCTTGACCTTATTTTCAAGGTTATATGAAGGTCACAACCAATTTTTTAAATGGCACCCTATATATTTTATTGTAAAATCTGAATCTGTGGATAAAAGTAACGTAATTCAAAAAAAAATAAAAAAATTTTACTGTGTGGTTGTGCCAGTACAACATTTTGAAAAAAATTGAAACTTCTTCAGAAACAATTAACTAACGTTTATAATCTAGCAAGAACAAATAAGATTTATGAATTTTTAAACATTTTCCTACCCGCTTCGATACATTCTCTTTAGTTCTTAATGCTTAGAGTACTATTTAAGAATGTTCAACAAAAAAAATCCAGAAGAGGTACATTGGGTGACTTGGCTCGTCGGAAATACCTTTAGAAAGAGGTCTAAAAGGTTCCGACATTTCTCCGTCTTTGTCAATTTGATAATAAAAACATACGTAACATACATAACGCATAAAAAACAAGAGTTCGTGGAACTGCTTATGTCGGCATTTTCAGAATATCGCTTTCAGAGACTTAATTGTTTTAAAATGTAACAAGTAAATCTAAATTTGCATAAAAATTCCTTGGCAACAAATTCTGAATCCATTCCATCGTTTTACGTTAACGCAAAGTGTTGAAACATAATATTTTTGTATATTCCCGTTGGCATTATTGTTTAGTTGAATTTAAGGTAATTTTTATTTAACGCGTGCGAGGTGGGGATGTGAACTTGTGAGGGTCCTTCGAGTCTGGTTTTGATTTCGTTTTACATATTGGTTTGTGACACCAGACTCAAGCGACCTCTTGGGAACTTACAAGATATTTTTTGTATGCTGTTCGTCCTTGTGCTCAGGTTTGTCATGATTAAGTTTGTATGTTTAATTAATTGTTGATTTTTGTATTTTATTCAGAGTTTGGTTAATAAACCAGTTTTGCTTTGGAATTTTAAACATCTAATTCATCCACCTTATCCCGAAACCACGTTCCACGGAATTTTCCGCAACAGTGTTTAAACTAAGTCATTAAATCATGGATACTCTAAGTGTGGCAGAAAAAGTAGAAATGATTTTTATTTATGAAGAAAGTGGCAGAAAAGTTGCTGATAGTATAGCTTTGTATCGAGAACGTTTTCCTGATCAAAATAAGCCTTCGAGAAGTACCTTTTACAAAGTTGTGAATGATTTTACTAACATTCGAAATGTGGAATCAAGACAAAGAACTGTTTCAATTACATTCAGATTTGGACTGTTGGAATTCCAAGACAGAACATTAATATTGAACCTCTTTTTTGTAGTTTTGGCCGTATGACAAGCTGCTCCATCCTGCTGAAATATGTAATTTTGGCCAACATTTAATTTCACGATACTTGGTAGTTAGCTATTTTGTAGTATTTGTTGATATTTTGCCGCGTCCACGGTGCAATCAATAAATTCAAAGCATCCTAATCCTGAAGCATACAGAATACAGCTCCAAATCATTACTCCCTTCAGAAATTGTACACAACGTTTTAAACAATCTTTATGAAATGCCTCATGTTTATTGCGAATTACGCGTTTACGGTAATCGCCAACACATACATCAAATTTCGTGGGTAAACCATCGGGCATTTCAAAGAAATGGTCATTAAATGGATGGTTTACCCATGGGTTCACCCCTTTCTGGCCTTCTAGCTGATTTTTACGTCTCTAACAGAATCACAACTTTTTTCGTTAACTAATCATTTTTCAACAAAATACATCCAATTTTACTGTAGATACGTTGATGACATCCTCATATTTTATGAAGGCTCCGATTCTAATCTAATAGCCCTATTTAATCTTATAAACAATATCAGTAATCTCGAATTCACTCTTGAAAAAGTAATAAATAATAGTATCAACTTTCTTGATTTAACAATCACCAAAAACACATCTAATTCTTCCCTCTCCTTCATTATTTTCCGGAAACCCACCACTACTGACACTGTAATCCCCAAAAACTCTTTCACTCCCTTCAAATACAAAGAAGCAGCATTCCGATTCTTTTTCCACAGAGCTATTAACACACCCCTTAACACAGATAATTTTAATGCTGAAATCTTTAATATTATAAAAATAGGTCTAAATAACGGCTACAATATTATGATTTACAAAAGATATTNTTAGTTTATTAACTGAACCTCCTTTTAACCTTGAATAATATGTATGTATTCTTTATTGATTAATTAGTTATTTATTGCGGACCCAACATGGTGGACCCAAAACGGTTCATTTTACATAAAAATGAACCAAATGAAAGTTGTTCTGTGCGCATTTTTTGACCTTGACCTTATTTTCAAGGTTATATGCAGGTCACAACCAATTTTTTAAATGGCACCCTATATACATATTTTATTGTAAAATCTGAATCTGTGGATAAAAGTAACGTAATTAAATAAAAGTTACAGCTGTAATTCCTATATCCTTTTCCTGACAGTAATCATCTGTACTAGGCACTGGCGTGGACTGGATTGCATCTTTTATTAATATTAGGATGCCGCCATGCTTGTACTGTTGTCTACAGAAGGATGATGCAATGTTGTATCCATTGATTCTCAATATATTCATTGTTGAGGTGTCCAGCTATTACGTTGTAATTGTAAAAAGAAGTGTTCTACCACTAAGTGTAGCTGTAAATGCAAAAGACTCTTGTGCAATTCAAAATGCAATTTTAACTTGTTGCAATAAATAAGATTTTGGAACTTTAATTATACAAATTTCTTTTGTTTTTTATATTTTAGCTTTTATTAAAATTACTTGTTGATTTATTAGACATTAGATTAGTTAGACATTCGCTAACAGTGCATTGGTTGTCAACATCCACCGGTGTAAGTGAGAAATAGTGATATTTGACAAATATTTATTTGTTATAAGAAGTCCATATTATTTCCATATTTTACATAAAAACTATATAAGCTATTATTAATCAAGGGCAACACAAAACATAGTCATATCTTTAACTCAAAAAGTCTACATACAGTCCTAAAAAAAAGTATATCAGTGTCCGTTATAGCTCAATAAAAATACCGGAAGTTGCTTATATCTCGAGTAATATTGGAATTAAACGTATCATGTTTGGGCTCATTTTGAATGACATGATGCATTTATATCAAAAAATTATATTTATTAATATAGTGTTAATTCTACATAGTAACAGTGCTAGTGTAAAACTAGAACTAACACTGTATTTAGAACTAGAACCATTCCAGTTTAGCCGTCTTTACAGACTTGCGGCTAAACCCAAATGGTTCTAGTTCTAGGTATAGTGTTAGTTCTATATAGTAACAGTGCTAGTGTTTCAATTATTATACAGCGCTAGACCAAGAACTAGAACTAGCATAATTTTATACTTGTCTAAATCATTAACAACTAGTTTTTAAACAATCCATGTTGCTCAAAATAACTGAAAACTAGTTGATAGTCATTAAAAACTTGTCTAAATGTATAAGGACTAGTTTATAGCAAGTTCAGGTTGCTCAAAATGACTGAAAACTGCACCAACATTGTCTAAAATTGGTTTATAACGTAGAAAAATTGTTCTAAATGTTTCGAAATAGGTTCATAGCTATCTCATGTTATTCAAAATCATTGAAAATTGGTTGAGCATAATTTTATACTTATCTAAATGATTAACAACTAGTTTTTAAACAATCTATGTTGCTCAAAATGACTAAAAATTAGTTAATAGTCATTAAAAACTTGTCTAAATGTATAAGGACTAGTTTATAGCAAGTCCAAGTTGCTCAGAATGACTGAAAACTGCACCAACATTGTCTAAAATTGGTTTATAAGGTAGCAAAATTGTTCAAAATGATTGGAAATAAGTTCATAACCATCTCATGTTCTTTAAAATAATTGATAATAGGTTGAGCATAATTTTATACTTGTCTGAATCATTAACAACTAGTTTTTAAACAATCCATGTTGTTCAAATTGACTGAAAACTAGTTGATAATCATTAAAAACTTGTCTAAACGTATAAGGACTAGTTTATAGCAAGTCCAGGTTGCTCAAAATGACTAAAAACTGCACCAACATTGTCTAAAATTGGTTTATAAGGTAGCAAAATTGTTCAAAATGTTTCGAAATAGGTTCATAGCTATCTCATGTTATTCAAAATCATTGAAAATTGGTTGAGCATAATTTTATACTGGTCTAAATGATTAACAACTAGTTTTTAAACAATCTATGTTGCTCAAGATGACTAAAAATTAGTTAATAGTCATTAAAAACTTGTCTAAATGTATAAGGACTAGTTTATAGCAAGTTCAGGTTGCTCAGAATGACTGAAAACTGCACCAACATTGTCTAAAATTGGTTTATAAGGTAGCAAAATTGTTCAAAATGATTGGAAATAAGTTCATAGCCACTTCATGTTCTTCAAAATCATTGAGAACTGGTTGAGCATAATTTTATACTTGTCTAAATGATTAACAACTGGTTCTTAAACAATCCATGTTGCTCAAAATGACTAAAAATTAGTTGATAGTCATTAAGAACTTGTCTAAATGAATAACGACTAGCTTATAGCAAGACCAGATTGCTCACAAAGACCGAAAACAGCACCAACATTGTCCAAAATTGGTCTATAAGGTAGAAAAATTGTTCAAAATAATTGATAATAAGTTGAGCATAATTTTATACTTGTCTAAATCATTAACAACTAGTTTTTAAACAATCTATGTTGCTCAAAATGACTGTAAACTTGTTGATAATCATTAAAAACTTGTCTAAATGTATAAGGACTAGTTTATAGCAAGTTTAGGTTGCCCAGAATAACTGAAAACTACACCAAAATTGCTTTATAAGGTAGCAAAATGTTTCGAAATAGGTTCATAGCCATCTCATGTTATTCCAAATCATTGAAAACTAGTTGAGCATAATTTTATACTTGTCTAAATGATTAACAACTGGTTTTTAGGCAATCCATGTTGTTCAAAATGACTAAAAATTAGTTGATAGTCATTAAAAACTTATCTACTTGAATAGGTACTAGTTTATAGCAAGTCCAAGTTCACCTAGTTTTGCACTAACACAATCACTAGAGCTAACACAAGACCTAGAACTAGAATAATTCGGGTTTAGCCGTCTTGAGAGACTAAATACGACTAAATCTACTGCTGCAGCCTGCACTTCGTAGCACAAGTCGAACTGTTTCGACTTTGTATTAAAATAATATAGACTTCTAATATCCTTCGTTTAAAAAAATCATTGAATTACATTTCAGGAGGTGAGATATTATCATTTTCTGGGGTGTATATAGACTTTATTGTATCATTGTATATATTACGAGTTGGAGAATGTTGACATTTATTAGGGGTTGTCGACATTTACCAGATTTTGGTCTTACACATAACATGACAGCCCACCAAAGAGGTAAATCTTATCAGAAACAATAAATCCAACGGTTTAGAAAGAGAGAGGGAGGAGCAAAAAGAAGAAGATGTATACTGCAAATTTTTGGATTGAGCAGCAATATTTTACGATTCACTTCATTTTGCCATACAGAATTCCTGCAAAGCATCAATAATTTGCAGTAACTTTCATTCTTTTAGTTTTCTTTTTGAAAAATTTGTCATATTTAATTATATTAATAATTATTAAACAAATTTGTTTATAGTTAAACGAAATTATTTTGCTATTGATTGAAACCCTCTTCACCTGAAGGTTACTCGTTTTACGTGATACCAACCGTTCCCCTAATATCCCCCTGAAACTCCTGAAATCAATACCAAAACGGTCCGAACCAGCACAAGATGAAGCAGATGGCGAAGTGAAAAAGCAAATTTATCGATGAAACTCCAAGATGTAAATAAAAGGTAATCAAAAAGATATGAATTAAGTTCTTTGATTTCCTGAAAAATCCCATGAATCGATCGTTTTAATAGATGTTTTCGTATTAGGCCGTCTCAATGCTGAAACGCAATTGCAATCTATAAATAGAAACTTGGGAAGTGAGCTTTTTTCAATTTTGGAGAATAACTTAAAAGTAAATTAAAATGTTGGAAGGAGCCGTTGCGAGGATTTTAAACCAATTACTTGGTAAATACGTGGTTGATTTGGATACAGAAAATTTAAATGTTGGGATATTTTCTGGGAAAGTTCAATTAACCGACTTAAAATTAAAACCGGAAGCTTTAGTAAGTAAAAAAGATTGTTTTGGTTAATAATATAAAGTAAAATTAATTTTAGTACGAATTAAATTTACCAATTGAGGTAAAAGCTGGTACAATTGGAAAAGTATGGCTTCAAATCCCATGGAATACTCTTTGGTCTCAACCAATAATCGCAACAATCGAAGATATTCACGTTGTTGCTTCCCCGATAGTAAATTTTCAAAAATTCGATCCTGAAAAGAATAAGCGTCTTTTACGAGCGATGAAGAAACGAATTTTATCCGAATTAGGTACGAAAAATGACGTAATCGGGGGGCCAACTTTATTCTCCGAATATTTAATAACAAACGTCATCAACAATATGCAATTAAACATTTCAAACGTACACGTTCGTTATGAAGACGATGTTAGTAGCAAATTTCCAATGGCTTGTGGAATTTGCATTGGAAATATAACAGCGGAAATTACAAACAGTAAATGGAAACCTGTAAAAATGTTTCGACCAAATGATACGTGTTATTATTTAATTAAAATCGAAGCGTTTTCGATTTATTGGAACCCAAATCATCAATTGATTAAATGGAATTTGCCGTTGCAGTATTATCAATGGAGGAATTCTATGTCGAATAGTTTACAAAATTTTTCTATGAACGAACAAGATTTTGAATTTTGTGCGTTATTTATCAAATAACGACGAATTAATTATAAATTAACTTATTTTTTTGTAGTAATTAAACCGATGACGACAAAAATAAAAACGACAATAACCAAAAATTCAAACGGAAGCATCGCAAAGCTTTTCGGCGACATAATAATTCAAGATTGTAACGTACAAATAACGAAAGACCAATTAATTTCGATTAATTGCATCTTAAGTTCTTTTGAGAGGATGTTAATTAGTTGGAATTTCTTATCAATTCGTCCCAAAAAGAAAATTTTAGACGATAAAGTTTCTTGGTGGAAATACGCGTTTAAAGCGGTGCTAAATCAAAGGGTACAACCGTATTCTTGGTCAAAAATCAAAGAGGTTAGAAAGAATTATCGGGAATATTACGAAATTTATAAAAAGTTATTAATTAATCCAAACGACACCGAATTAAAATTGGATTTACAAAAATACGAGGATCAATTATCGATTGTTAATATTGTTATTGCGAGACAACAAGCGAGATTAAGCGTACGATTAATTAATATTAAGTTTGAATTAATTAACGATTTTTTGTATTTGTAGGCACATGAAAGTAGTTTATGCGAAAAAAGCTTTTGGGATATCTTGCCATCACCGGAACGATTGGTTCTTTGTGAAAAAATTGGATTTTCTTTGTTAACTGATAATGAGAAAAAATCTATTGGTAAAAAAAACCTTATTAGATTATATTAAATTTAAATTAATAAAATAAATTTGTTTTAGAACATAATTATAGTTTCAGAATTGGAAACATAACAGTTTCCCTTATAAACGAAAGCCGCGAAATTTTAGTTTTAACCCTAACTCAATTCATATCGAGTTTAATCCCGAATTACTCAAAAAGCACTTACAAGATTTCGCTGAAAATCGAGGCGATTATCATAGAAGGAGCCAGCGTTGAAGAACACCTCCTCCCCGTAATTTCTTCGGAACATATAACAGTTCATAACAGCCCGGCTTATTTCTTTAAATTAGAATTAGAAAAATTACCGGCTAATTCGAATTTTTCTTATAAATTAAATTGCATTTTGGAGTACTTAGAGATTTCTTATCACAAGGTAAAAATCATCAAAATCATCAACAAAAAATTAATTTTTAATTATTCCAGCATGCTTTTGATGAATTAAAGAAATTTTTAATGGAAGGAGTCGACATTTATGCTTCGATTAAAACATTTTTCGAAAAATTCCCCAAAAAACTCGTAGAAGAAACGAAAAAGAAATTAATCAACAAATGGGATATGAAATTAGATTTAAAATTACCGTACTTGGTGATTCCCGAGGGGGCCTCTTTACAAACGTAATTAATTCAACTTAATTTTAATTCATAACATTAATTTTAATTTGTGTTAGTGGCGAAAACGTATTGATAATTGATCTGGGCCAAATGAAAATTAACACAGAATTATCTCAAGAAAACGAAATCTCGGAAAACGTCACCCACATGGAATTGGAAGAAAAAATTTATTCTCGCCTTCACGTAAAAGGAAGCGACGTTCAAATTTTGTTTTGTGATAGTGCCGAAGATTGGAGGGCGGGGAGAAAGGAAAAAGACACCGAGCTTCATGTTTTGGCAAAAACGACGGTTACAGCTGTTTATTCTAATTGTGTAAAAAATATTGATACAATCCCAAAGTAAATCTATCAATTTTCTTTTTAATACAGTAACAAATCGATATAACGGACCTCGTTAAAACTAATTATTAGGAAACTGGGTTATTCCTCAAGTTGCTCTATTCCATGTTCGTAGATAAACTCAGAGTATTCCCCCAGCTGTATCACTTAAAACTCCCATTTCAAGTATCTCTGGAATGGGTTAAGATATTGTAGTTTTGTAAGAAGTTGTTGCGAGAGTTCGTAAATGACTTCAGTTCTTAATTGTTGTTATTTTATTATTGTACAAAAACAAAGGTGGTGCCGCAGTCAAAAGAAACTTTCCCTGTAACACAAACTTTAGGGAAGTATCTGTGGAAGCATCACAGCCAAATAATAAAATTGTAACTATTTACATAGTTTAGATTTTAGATTTACAAATTTATTTTAAATTATGTAATTTTTCAACATTCATCCTCACTGTCATATATGAGTCCTAGATATGTCTTCCTCACTTGGTTCATCTTCACATTGGTTTTCGATTGTAGCTTTTTTTTTAACTCCACTAAAACCTCTCTATAGGGAGCTAAGCAATTTCTTAACTCTCTTTTAAACTTTGCGCTGCGCACCGTTGAACGATCAGTTTGAATGAAATGAAGTTCTAATTCTTTTGCCAAATTTAGCCCTTTTTTCACATCTTGTAAATCGAGATTTGGCACCCATTCATTTTCCTTATTTTCGTTTACCAATCAATTAAGTCCATCAGTTCTTTCTCATCAAAGTTTCTTCCCCGAGTACTAGTTCTCTTACATCCTGATGGTTTACGGCAAATTCTTCATCGCTTAAACGAGAAGCAATGAACCATTTGAGGTAAAAGAGGTTTCCAACACGCATTAAGCGTTTATAGTTTAATTTCCGCGCAAGCTGATGACACGGTTCTAATACAATCTAAAATAGAAAATTCTTTCCACACTTGAGTACGAGTTTTATTTTCACTATTTTCTAATCTGTACAAAATGGTTTGGAAAAGTTGGCGTGTGTAGTACATTTTTAAAGTTTGAATGACTCCTTGGTCCAAAGGTTGTGTTAATGACGTGCAGTTAGGAGGAAGGAAGACAATTTTCACATTTAGGTGATCCAGTTCTATGTTATGGCAAGCAGCGTTATCAAGAACCAATAAAACTTTGAAATACAATTTTTTTTCCATCGTATAGGTTTCCACTGCCGGGATAAAACAATTATAAAACCAATCCTTAAATAAATCTCAAGGACGGTAGTTCTAGTTTTAATTGCTATTCAGCGCAAGATTCTTGTATGATGTATATTTCTCATTGAACTAAAACTAAAACTAATGCTAGACCTAGAACTACAATCATTAAGGTTTAGCCATCTTGAAAGACATGCGGCTAAATCCGAATGTTTCTAACAAAGTGTTAATAAGAGTGTCCTCTTTCCAATGAACCTACACGTTTTGAAAAATAACTTTTAGTTTTTGAGAAAACAATATTTGAAGTTTTGATAAAATTTTCGATGTTGCAATTTTCATCGATAACTTTTA